TTTTGTTTACACAGTCCCATTTCATAACCCGTCCAATTGACATACACAATTGCACACGTACTAGTATACAGCATCGGCATCCATCTTATTTACTTTTACGTTATTATCGCCTTTACTACGCACGAAACTCACAATATGTAATAGAATTTACAATTGTATTCAATATTAATAAAAGATGCATCACAAACTATAGTCTTACTTCAAATACTTTTATGACTTTACCAAAGGTCCCATGTTACATTCGTATTCAATATTATTAAAACGTATAATAAAAATATGAAGTCTTACTTCAATCAGATGCTGCCAGTTCCTCTCCTCAATCCCTGATATCCTCCATTACATTGCACACATGCATTGCACATCCAACCTGTTCCGGTCCTCAACGCACGGATGTCCACTTAAACCTTGCAAGTTATTCTATTACTTTTGCAGAATTACCACATATACTATGCACAATAGTTAAATCATGTCAAACAATCAGTTCTTCTTGATTGCACACATATACAGGCGGGTCACACTGCGCAGCACAACAAACCAAACAATGCACACCTACATGCCTTTAAGAATACAGTCTGATATTCTACTTACGAAGTATTATACTTTCCTTTCCATACACTGTTCACATCACCTGCACTCCTCATATGAATAACATCATGAACTCCCCAACATACAACTATATATTCACCTAACATGACCATTTTTCTCTCGCACTTATCAATACCTTGCTATTGGCAATAAATGCAAGCATCAATCATGCCAACATATTTTTGTTTACCCCCCTTTTTTTTTACTACTCCCAAACCTTCCAAATCCTAATTTTCTTTCCACTTCAAATTTACTTCTTCAATTTCAAATTTTCTTTCCCTCTTCAATTTTTCTTTTTCAATTTCAAAATCATGTGAAAAAAATTCTACAAAGTTAACGCTTTCAGTCCCCGTGTCGGAGACTTTTTTTATGTATTTACTGCTAGAGAAGATTTATATAAAAAAACAGAATTATTTTTAGTGGTGTCCAAATGTTTAATTTAGAAAAAAGGCTATGGTACATGGTCCGAAATATTCTACACATAAAGTCAAACCTCTTTTTTGTCTACCTCTTTTTTGTCCATATTTTAATTCTGGGGGACTTCAAACTTATTTGCACTATATACCAGAATACTGCTGTGTGAATTCACGTGTGGCTTGCTACACTCTCAAGAGAAATGCATTATGTAGCACGTGCTTTTACGATAACCTATAAATGAAATAAAATATAATGTAATTAAGAATAGCGGTCATACTCGCTTGTTAGTGTGAGCGTTCAATGTATGTATTCTGTGTTGTTCTTGGTGCGGGATATAGTAGTCAGGAATATTGTCTCCCAAGTTATAAATATGCTTCCCGCCAACAACAGAGCCAGACGACACGCCATGAATTGAACCACGAATTAGATCAATGTCGATGCTTCAACGTTTTGAATAGAGATGCATTTGATATGCACGTATGTACGTTACTGTACCAGTGTTTGTACCTCTAGAGTGAGCTATTGAGCCACTAACTCTACTTATATAACTTTGTCTACCTCTGTTTCTGTCCAAGTGTAGACCTGAAAGAGACCCCGGACAAAAAAAAGAGGTCTGCCTGTACAGTGTACAAGATACTTTTTTTGTACACACAAAGAAGGGAAACGGGAATCATTCATATAAAAAAAGAGTCCGAGATTGTAAAAAATAATATCAAATAATTAAATAGTACTGTAGTATTCAGAATTTCAGAACTACAATACATCTCCGATTACGTGCAACGAACTGTCCACATGAAATTCAAGCGTCTGCAGGCTGCAAGGTGGGTACACTTAAAAGAAGCACACCTCTGCACGTTAATAGACCAATGTGTAGTAAAGTTTATCTATTGACACAGTAATTTATGCCTGAGATACGCTAAACCATGTTGAAAAAGACCGACTTGGGGCGGAAACGCAGCCAAAGTGTGAGCGACTTGACGGAACTCACGGATAAGAGTGCGGCACTCACCGAATCTGGGAGTCCTTCAAATAAAGATAAAGCCGTTACACCCGGCTTCAATCTAGATGCCTTGAAAGTTCTTGACTTTTTGCAGGTAAGTTTTAGGTCGTATTTTTTAGGATGGATTAATAGCTGTGTGCAGAAGTGTTCAGATCCATATCTACAGTATACACGCACATCTACGCAAAAATAAAACATGCCAATTCACCCGAACTAACACACACACGCCCATACACACGAAAGCACACATATCCAAACACACACGTGAAAACATGCAAAGCCGCATCTAAACACCTACACATACACACACACACAC